GGCTTTAACCCACAGACTGTGAGATCATGACCTGAGCTGAGATCAAGAGTCAGATGCTCAACCAGCTGAGCCACTCAGGTGCCCCTGGCTTGGAAAGTTTCTGCTGAAAATTCCTTGATAGCCTAATGGGGTTTCCGTTGTTCAAAACTGCCTTCTTTTGTCTTGCTGCTTAAAAAAATTTTTTTTAAATTTTGTATTGTTATGTTTTGCCATTTTAGTTACAACCTGTCTTGGTGTGGATCTGCTCTTGCTGATTTTTTGGGCCTTCTCTGTGCCTCCTGCATCTGGATGTCTGTTTCCCAGATTAGGGAAGTTTGCAGCTGTTATTTCTTCAAATAAATTTTCTGTCCCCCTTTCTCTCTCTTGTTCTGGGACTCCTATAATATAAATGTTACTGTGTTTTGATGGAGTCCTAGAGTTCCCTAAATGTATTGTTGTTTTGCATGATTCTTCTTTCTTCTGTTCAGCTTGATTACTTTCCATTACTCTGTCGTTTAGGTCATTAATTTGTTGCTTTGCTTCTTCCAGCCTGCTGTTCATTCCATCACGCGTGTTTCTTGTTTCATTCATTGAGCCCTTAATCTCTATGTTATTCTTTATTCTGTGGTAATGGTCTTACTGAAGTTTTCCAGTCTTTTCTCAAGTCCAGTGAGTATCTTTACGATCATTACCCTAAATTCTCTATCAGGCATGTTACTTGAATCTGTGTCACTTCTGTCTCTGGCCATGGACTGGTCCTGGTCTTTCACTGGGAACAAATTCCTCTGTGTTCTCATTTTGTCCAAGTCTCTGCACCTGTTTCTCTGTGTTAGGAAAGTCAGCTACGTCACCTGTTGTTCATGGTAATGGGTTTACGAAGAAGTCCTTTAGTTCGTGGAGTGAAGTGTCCTCTGTTCCCCAGGGCCTGGTGCTTCCGGGAATGTCTCCAATGTGTGCTGTGTGTGCTCTGCTTGGTTTAAGCAAGAGCTTAAATGTAAAGAGTGTCAGTGCTGCTCTGGGCACCTGCCAGTTTCTTTGTTCCAGGAGGGCCTCTCCGTGAATGCTACCTCTCTGGAACACACTCGGAGATGAGCTAATAACCTCCCCACTGTGTGTGCCCCAGGCACACTCCAGATCGCTGTTTCTATGTTGTGTGTCCATGGGCTGTTTGACCTGCCTTCTCTCCAAGAGCAGTCCCAATGTCTCCTGGCTGCCCCCAAGCCTAGCTCGCTGACCTTTAAAACTCCAGGCTTTCGGGCCCCTTGGGTGGCTCAGTTGGTTAAGCGTCTGACTTTGGCTCAGGTCATGATCTCATGGTTCATTGGTTCAGGCTGGGCATTGAGCTCTGTGCTGACAGCTCAGAGCCTGGAGCCTGCTTCATATTCTGTGTCTCCCTCTCTCTCTGCCCCTCCCCTGCTTACTTATGATCTCTCTGTGTGTGTCTCTCTGTATCAAAAACAAATAAACACTAAAAAACCAGAAAACTCACCAGGCTTTCAGCCTCGCTGGTTGCAAGAACTCACAGAATTCAGCCTCTCTTTCGTTCCAAGCCCATAGCTACAGGGATTCATTTTCCCTGTGCTCTCATCTGACTCTCACCCTTCTGCACAACTGTGGCTCCCTCTTCACCACCGAGGCCATCATCTGTTTCTCTCCGCAGCATCTCCACACTTCCTAACTTCTTTTTTTTTTTTTTTTTAAGTGTTATTCATTTGTTTATTTCTTAGAGAGGGAGAGACAGTGTGAGCAGGAGAGGGTCAGAGAGAGAGGGAGATACAGATTCTGAAGCAGGCTCCAGGCTCTGAGCTAGCGCTCAGCACAGAGCCCAACGCGGGGCTCGAACCCACAAACTGTGAGATCAAGACCTGAGCTGAAGTCCGACGCCCAACCGACTGAGCCACCCAAGCGCCCCTTCACTTCCTAACTTCTTTAGTCGGGCTTCTCCTCTGCCCCTAGCGGTTAGTGCTGCCATTGTCCAGGTTGATTTCTGGGATATTTAGGATGATTTCGTAGTTACCTAGTGTTCGTGGGAGGGTCCTCCTGCTCCTCCACCATCTTCCCCTCTCTCTGAGAAGGAAGTGATTCATGATGTGGCTCTCCTAACAGTGCTCTCTACTACCCCCAACCCCCTCAAATCTCTACTGAGAGAGTGATCTGTTTCCCACACAGAAGGAATTTTCTTACCCCCCTTCCTCAAGGCCTTTGCTGCTTTCCTGCTCAGTTGCAGATAAAACTGGGACTCACCACAATTTTTTTTTAATGTTTGTATTTATTTTTGAGAGAGAGAGCTAGAGCATGAGCAGGGGAGGGGCAGAGGCAGAGGGAGACACAGAATCTGAAAGGCTAGAACCCACGAACCATGAGATCATGACTTGAGCCCACGTTGGACACTTAACCGACTGAGCCCCCACCCCAAGGTGCCCCACATCACCATAGTTTGAATCCTGCTTACCTGCTGATCTGTTGCCGCCTCTTGTTCGTATTCACTCCCATCATAACATATGTTCTCATGAGATTTTCTAGTGATCCCGCTTCTCTTTGGGTACTACAAGTCCGTCATCCCCCACAGGTCAAATAAAGCCATGTTTATGTAGGACCTGCCGCGTGGACCCTGGGGGACCAGACCTCATGCTTCCAGAGGCCTCTGTGCCCTACTCGGCCACACAGCAGTGTGTGATCCCCAGGCCGGGAGCAGGTTGGGACTGGGCAGTTGTATTCCTTTTAGGGAGGTTTCCCTAAGTGTTCAGTGAGTTAATAAGCTCAGTTATTTAACGAAGTGTTTATAAATTAGCCTGTCTAATCCTAATTATGTAGCCAGTGAGTTGGTTGTCGTTCTGAATATTTTGAGGGACACAGTCTGTGGATTTTGTATCTGAAGTCCATGTAGGCGCGGACATCGCCTTCTAAGATGGCATTGAAAAAAATCCAGAGGCTCTTTTCCTTCCAAAGATGACCTTGGTGTTGCAAATGTTGTGAAAGAGTTGGAGGAAAAACTTGGAAATAAAACCCCCACTCTCCATATCCTCCCAACTGGGATCAGCCTCAAAATTTTACAACTCAAAGAAATCTTAGACCAGTGAGTCTGGTCTTCCGCGTGCCTCTTCCTGTCTGCCTGGCGGCTTATTCATTCATCAAGATGCTGACACTGACTGCTGAATGACTCCTGAGCAGTTTCTGTTACAAGCATGTTTCGGGTGCTTGAGCTATAAAGCTGAGTAGGTAGGTATTAATTACAAAGTCAATTTACCAGTTATCCTTCTCCCTCCAATAGGCAATGGAAAGATCTCCCTGCAGAGCCCTCTTAATGAACAGAAGTTGTTGAACAAATAATCAGAACAAAGTGAATCACAAATCCCAAAAGGGTATTTCTTCCAAGTCTGGAAAATTTTCCATTGCCCTTTTCCATTCTTGCATTCTTCTATCTAAAGATGGAGGAGTTGGGGCACCTGGGTGGCTCAGTCGGTTAGGCATCTGACTTTGGCTCGGGTCATGATCTCGCAGTCCATGGGTTTGATCTGCATGTCAGCTGTGCTGACAGCTCAGAGCCTGGAGCCTGCTTTGGATTCTGTGTCTCCCTCTCTCTCTGACCCTCCCCTGCTCGCTCTCTCTCTCTCTCTCTCTCTCTCTCTCTCAGAAATAAATAAAACATTAAAAAAAAAAAAGAAGAATGACAGACCAAGGGGCACCTGGGTGGCTCAGTCAGTTAAGCGTCCGACTTCGGCTCAGGTCATGATCTCTCACATTCCATGAGCTCTAGCCCCACGTCAGACTCTGTGCTGACAGCTCAGAGCCTGGAGCCTGCTTTCGATTCTGTGTCTCTCTTCTCTGCCCCTCTGCCTCTCGTGCTCTCTCTCTCTTACTCTCTCTCAAGAATAAACATTAAAAAAATTTTTTTTTAAATATTTTTATTTATTTCTAGGAGAGAGAGAGACAGCGTGAGCAGGGGAGGGTCAGAGAGAGAGGGAGTCACAGACTGAAACAGGCTCCAGGCTCTGAGCTGGCAGTCAGCACAGAGCCCGACGCAGGGCTCGAACCCACGAACCGAACCACGAGATCATGACCTAAGCGAAAGTCGGACGCTTAACCGACTAAGCCACCCAGGCGCCCCTAAAAATTTTTTTTAAAGAATGACAGACCAAGAGAGAATACTATATTTCAGAGATTAAAGGTCGTTTTCATATGACAAAACAACAGCCTCTAAACCTTTTATAGAAACCATTTATGAGGACAGGTTTTTTGTTGTTGTTGTTTTTTAACATTTTTATTTACTTTTGAGCCAGAGAGAGAGTGTGAGCTGGGGAAGGGCAGAGAGAGGGAGACATAGAATCTGAAGCCGGCTTCAGGCTCTGAGCTGTCAGCACAGAGCCTGATGCGGGGCTCGATCCCACAAACTGTGAGATCGTGACCTGAGCCAAAGTTGGATGCTTAACCGACTGAGTCCCCCAGGCACTTTGGGGCAGGTTTTATGTTAGGAGATATTACCTGCTTTTGTGCAGCTCCTGAGAAATAAGGTACTCTGAAAGGGTTCTGTCCGGTTTGTGCTGCTGATTTAATTCTTAAAACAGTCCTGTGAGGTAGGGATTGCTAATGCCTCCATTTTTACAGATGAAAGAATTCAAGCACGGAGACATTAATAACTTGTCCAGGATTTCACAGCTAATTAGTAGCGGTACCATGAACCTAAAACATTTGGCCCCAGAGATTACTCTCTTAACCTGGCTGCTTGACTCTTGATTTCCACCCTCCCTAGGATCAGATTTATACCCCGAGAGCTTGTTTTAGGGCCACTGTGTGTGCTTGGGCGGTTTTCCATTGTGCAGGGGCTCTCGGCTGAAGGGCTGCATTGTCTCTGGAATGGAGCCTGTGCTCTGCTCATCAAGCGCCCTGAGGAAACGGCACCGTTGCTATTTCATGTAAAGCGTGAAACCTGGTCAGTAACACGTGTTAGCCGGATGGACCAGTGATGGTCTTGGCCAGACTCTGATGCCTTTTTTTCTCCTTCTCCTTTTTTGCCTTCTCAGGACTCAGCACTTCCCGAGAAGTAGAAGGAGGACAAAATGACCAAGTTCAAGGTGAGTGGGGCTTCCTTTCTAGATTTGAAATTATTCCCATTTCTCAATGATTAGAAGCATCCTTGAAAACAATTAGATTAGTAGCAGGCATTTCAAAACCTCTTCAGTGCCAGAGGATCGCTACTTCTTATTTTAGTGTAGGGTTTTTTTTTTATGTTTATTCTTTTAAAAAAAAAATTTTTTTTAACATTTAGTTTTGAGAGAGAGAGAGGGAGAGAGACAGAGTGCAGCAGGGGAGGGGCAGAGAGAGAGGGAGACACAGAATCCAAAGCAGGCTCCAGGCTCTGAGCTGTCAGCCCACGTAGGCCTCAAACTCATGAACTGCAAGATCATGATCTGAGCCGAAGTTGGCTGCTTAGCCGACTGAGCCACCCAGTCACCCCTAGTATAGTTTGATTTTTATTGTTTTATCATCTTTCACAATTTCACAAATAAAATAGAGGGGAAAAGTGAATAGTAGAAAAAAAAGACACCTCCCATTTTATTACCATTTTCCTTATAAAAACATTTCATTATCTCATGTCCTTTTCCTCATATGCATTCATAACTGTATATTTGTAATAGTTAATATAAAAATTCTCAAGTCATGCCTTTTCTAATGAATACTGTATTTCCTACATTTTTAATGGCTACATCATATTCCCTTGAATAGATATATTCTGTGTGTATGTCTCATAGCTTTTACCCATTCGTGGAAGTTCAGGTAGTTTAGAATTTTTTCTATCTTATTTATTTAATTTATTTTAATGTACTATTTACTTTTGAGTACCGGTGGGAGAGGGACAGAGAGAGAGGGAGAAAGAGGAGCTGAAGCAGTGAGCCTGATGTGGGGGCTCGAACTCATGAACCACCAGATCATGACTTGAGCCAAAGTTGGATGCTCAACTGATTGATTCCCCCAGGCGCCCCTATAATTTTTACTATTTAAAAATATTTTCTTTAATGTTTATCTTGAGAAAAACAGAGTGCAGGTCGGGGGGGGGCCGGGTAGAGAGAGAGAGAGACAAAGAATCCCAAGCAGGCTGCAGGCTCTGAGCTGTTAGCACAGAGCCCGATGCGGGGCTTGAACTTATGAACTGTGAGATCATGATCTGAGCTGAAATCAGATGCTTAACCAACTGAGCCCTCCAGGCGCCCCAGATTTTTACTATTTTAAAGGACATTGTTGTGATGAGACCACTTGTTGTGCAGAAGGGCTGAATCACTGTATCATACACCTGAGACTCGTGTTACACTGTATGTTAATTAACTGGAATTTAAATAAAAACTTTAAAAAATAAAACTAGGAAACTAAAATTATAATAAATTCTGACTTTGACATGCTAAAAAAACAAAAGAACATTCTAATAACAGTTGGCCTACCATAAACCATTTTCTTCAAAAAAGGAATTTGGAGGAGTTTGCTATATTTTGTTCTGAATGTTTTTAGAAATCTAAATTGAAAAAGGACCCATAAAAGGCAAAATCCTCAGAGATTTTATACATAGAATACTCAGATATGACAGTGCAACCAGGTATAACTGATACTTCACACAGAGAGAACATTTTTCCATATTTTCCCACAAGAAAGCTAGATACTGGGGGCGCCTGGGTGGCTCAGTCAGTTAAGCATCCAGCTTCAGCTCAGGTCATGATCTTGTGGTTCACTAGTTCAAGCCCCGCATCGGGCTCTGTGCTGACAGCTCAGAGCCTGGAGCCTGCTTAGGATTCTGTCTCCCTCTCTCTCTACCACAACCCCAATCATTCTCTCTCTTTCTCTGTCTCTCAAAAGTAAATAAACATTATTAAAATTAATTAAAAAAAAGAAAGCTAGATTCTTCCTAATCCATGTTTGAATCCTATCATGTGCATGTGTTTTTTTAAAAAAATTTTTTTAATGTTTTATGTTATTTTTGAGAGAGAGAGACAGCATGAGCAGAGGAGCCTGCTTCAGACTCTGTGTCTCCCTCTCTCTCTGTCCTTCCCCCACTCATACTCTGTCTCTCCCTCAAAAATAAATAAACATTAAAAAAGAAAAAATAAGACAAAACTGTACATCAGCAGTTCTTAATCGTGGGTGATCTTTGCCCCCAGGCAGTGTCTGGAAACGTTTCTGGTGTCACAACTTGAGGGAGGCTTCTGGCTTCCAGTGCGTAGAAACCAGGGATGCCGGTAAACATCCTATAGTGCATGAGGCAGGCACGTTCCACCCCCCCCCCCGCAACAAACAATGATCTAGCCTAAAATGTGAGTTGTGTGAAGGTCAAGAAACCACGCTGTACACAAAGCTAAACAAGAACAATAGCAAGACGTGGGTGACAGTATTTAAATATTTTTTTTAAAAAAAGCTTCAACTCTCTAATAGAAATTTTGCAGAGTCCTAAAATAAAACCCCACTTGGACTATGAGCAAAGAACATTAGCTGGCACGGTACTGAAGCAAAAATAAAGACGGCCAGTAAATCTATGAAAATACGATAGCTCATTAATTACTGAATTAGTACGAAAAGAACAAGTTGCTTTTTACGGATCAAATTTCCTAGGGCTCAGAAACACTGGTTATATTCAGTGTTGCATATGATGTGGAGAATCAGGGATATTTATATTCTCTCGGGGGAAGCACAAAATACAGAGAAAGTTGGAAAGGTAACCTGGCATTGTACATAGTAGTTTTGAAGTGGCATATTCTTCGATACTGCAATTTTTACTTCTTGGAACTTATCCCAGGAAAAGAATTAGACAGGAGGCTAGTATTTTATGTAAAAAGTTGTTATTTTTGGTATTTATTTTGAAACAAAAAAAATACCTAATATAGTCCGTATTATTTGAAATGTTTAATCATATAGAAGTGAAAATGACTTTGGTCCCTGAAAGTCTGAACCACTTTGTACCCATCCTTTCCAGTTTTCTCAGTGCACTTTCTCTGGGTGGCCACTGGGCACAAGATTGAGCTTACCTGTGCTTGGTGTTGTAGGAGGCAGTGACGTTCAAGGACGTGGCCGTGGTCTTCACGGAGGAGGAGCTGGGGCTGCTGGACCCTGCCCAGAGGAAGCTGTATGGAGACGTGATGCTGGAGAACTTCTGGAACCTGCTCTCTGTGGGTGAGGACCAACACTCTGTGGCTGAACATCAGTCCCCCTGCGTGGTTTATTTACCCTTCGTTTATTTACCCGTGGGGTTTTGGGGCTCTTGACCTGGCTTCCAGTGTTCAAATCAGCTTAAGACGCAGAGATGGCGTTTTTTCTGGTTTTTCTGCCCCCTCCCCCCCACAAAATTTGTGTTTTGTAAATGAGCCGTAAATTGGTAGCATGAGTGCTGTATACACATTTTTGTCCTTTCTCAAGTTGTAGTCGTTTCCAATTAGTGGGTCATGACGCACATTTAGGGCATTGTACTGGCCTTTTTTTTTTTTTTAAAGTTTTTGTATTTATTTTGAGAGAATGTGAGCAGGGGAGGGACCAAGAGAGAGGGAGACAGAGAATTCCAAGCAGGCTCCTTGATGTCAGCAGAAAGCCTGATGTGGGGCTCGAACTCATGAACTGTGAGATCATGACCCGAGCCGAAACCAAGAGTCGGACCCTAAACCTACTGAGCCACCCAGGCTCCCCTATACCAGTATTTTTAATGAAACACAATAGGGTAGAAAATGTCAGAGCCCTTGGCAATAACTACACATTGTGGCAAAAAGTAGTCTGTTGCCGAAAATTGTGTGAGCAGTGGCAGAAAGGATCTGAAGAAAACAGACATTTTTTTTCACCAGTAGCTCACACTTAGGTCTACATATCCTGGATTTTTGCATAAAGTGCAGTCCTCTGATGCATCATAATTAACAGTTTGGAAAACACAAATTTTGATGCCCTAAAGATGATGTGATGAACAGCACATGTTTTGTGATTTCGGTGTCTATTCTATTAATTTAAAATGCTTGTCCTTGCCTTTTCACAGGGCAGCAGCCCTTCACGCCAGATGTAACACCCCAGTTCGAGAGGGTAGGAAAGCTTTGGATGCTAAAGGCAGCAACCCAGAGCCACAGCTCCTCAGGTGAGAGCCGTGTGGCCCAGTCTGTCACGCTTGTTGTCACCTCCACAGCTCTGGCGAGGGTCGCGGTCAGTGCCTTGCCCGTGGTTTTCTGCAGTAGTTTTTAGTGCTCTCTCTCTCTCTCTCTCTCTCTCTCCCCCCCCTCCTTTGCTCATTTACAGTTGTTCTCCACTGGAAGTGATTCTTTTTTATTTTTATTTTAGAGAGAGCGAGAGCAGGGGAGAGAGGCAGATGGAGAGAGAGAAAGAACTGTAATTAGGCTCCACGCTCCACGCAGAGCCCGACACGGGGCTCCATCTCACGACCCTGGGATCATGACCTGAGCTGAAATCAAGCAAACTGAGCCCCCAGGTGCCCCTCGAAGTGCTTCTTTTGTATGCTTGTCAGATCTTGTCAGGCCTCTGCTTGTACCTCAGGTAGCTTCTTACCTGATTCAGAGTAAAATCCAAGTACTTATAGTGGCCTATGATGTCCCACCTGTCTGCTCCTTGCTCTTCCCCCATCCCTCTGCGAACGTGATCTGTCCCCTATGTCTGTTTGTTCTGTCCAGTTTTGCTGCTCTGCTCTGCTCCCCATGGCCCGGCCTCGTCACCCGCTACCTGTTCTTCCTTCTGTCACGGGTGCCCTTTCTGTCATCCTCTTGACCCCTCCCTTACTTCACATAAGTCTCTTCTCAAATCCTGACATCATAAGAAAGGCCTCTCATGACCATTCTGTTCCTGATCCCTTCCTGCTCCCCCGTTCTCCTTTCCCTTACCCTGTCTGATTTGGTGTCTAGGCATTGATCACCGCTTACCATATTAACATCTATTTTTGCTTAGCTCACTCTGTTCCCACTAGAATATAATTATCAGGAGAGAAGAAATCCTATTTTCTGTGTTGCCATATCCTCAGTGTATAGATCGGACTTGGGACAGGACAGGTGCGCTATAAATATTTGTTACACGAATGAGTGAGCTGACATGGACTTTTTCCCATTAGTCATGGACGTACTTAAAGGGTGATAAACAGAAACGTGGTGAAGTCATCGTCTAGAAGAGCCCATGATTATAATGATTATCTAATCTAATGTAATTTATTAGGCCCTTTTAGATCTTTGTAGATTTGTATCCATGAAACCACATCTGATGACTGCTTAACTCTGCACTTGTAACCACGGTGAATATCATTTCCGCTGTGTGGCTTTCCTGCAGTTTTTAGTAGTGAATCATACCATCTTAGTGAAGAACTGCTTTTTAAAATGAAGAATCTGGTAGCCACTTTTGAGGAGGATCTTCTATTAAAGAAAATATACATACTTTATCAAGAAAGTATCAGGTATTAACTGACTTTTAAGTTAGTCTTTCCCTTTGAAGATTTTCCTCATGGCAGCCACCCACCTCATCCAAAGAGAGTAACTGAAAATGGTGTCACCCACCATTATCCCTGTGTGTGTGTGTGTGTGTGTGTGTGTGTGTAGTTCTAACATGCATTTTATCTAGAGAAACCTTTACTTATTTCTGATATTTTCCTATTCTGTTAATGCTGGTCATAAGCCACTAAATTTATTTCAGAGTCACTGAATCCAACTTGTAGCTTGAAAAACAGGGGTGTTGTCCATACAGCAACATGTTTCTGTATCCATCAGTTTGACAGCCTGCTTTCAGAGACATTACTCCTGAGCCTCTAAATACTGACTCCTATATGAAAATAGAAAATTTTTACACACATAGGAAGAGATTACAAAAATTCAGAAGCAGGGCGCCTAGGTGGCTCCGTCGGTTAAGCATCTGACTCTTGATTTTGGCTCAGGTCATGATCTCACAGCTCGTGAGTTCAAGCCCCACTCTGGGCTCTGCATGGACAGCGTGGGGCCTGCTTGGGATTCCCTCTCTCTCTCTCTCTCTCTCTCTCTCTCTCTCTGCCCCTCCCCCTCATGTGTGCGTACATGTGCTCTCTCTCAAAAATAGACATTTAAAAAACTTTTTTCAGAAGCAATCAATCCATAGGCCCCATGACCACTTGTCTGTCTTATACCATTTTTTCCCTTCTTTCCACTCAAGTGATTCTTGCCATGATTTTATGATCAGCATGATTTTATCATCAGCAACATCCACTTAAGTTAGCCCTGCCTCTGGTGAAGGCTTTCAACTTCCGAGCAAAGTTGTTGCTCCCAACCCCTTTCCTGTTATGGGGTAACTTACTTGAAAAAGATCTTTTACTCAACACAGCTCATATTCTCGTAAAGAAGTCAAACTGGGGCTTATTTATGTGTTCTACGTGTACGTATGGAATGCTACCAGACAGCATCCTGCAAGTGGCGATAAAACAGTGAATGATCTAGATGCTCGTCCTTATGGATGATGCATTCAGGTGGGAGAAGACATAAAACAAAAAAATGAAGGGCATATATAGCACGTTTGATGTAACACGTGCCGTGTAAAAACAAAGCCGGGTAAGCTGAATGCTGGGCAGGTTACCAGGAGTGGTGAGGGATAGGGAGAACTTGCTGCTGGGTGTTGGACGGTAAAATCGGCCTCGCTGATAAGGTGTCATTTAAAGAGAGATCTGAAAAGAAGCAGGTAGCAAGCTCTAGAGTTCATTGATGGAACAGAGTCCCAAGGAGACCATAGCTCTTCCTGACCAATACTGACTTTGAGAATCCATGCCATGCCCTGTTCATTTTCTCCTCACAAGTTCATGCTCTGTTCTAAAAGATGAGCATCTCATGGGTGCCTGGGTGGCTCAGTCAGCTAAGTGTCCGGCTTCGGCTCTGGTCGTGGTCTCACAGCTTGTAAGTTCGAGCCCAAGCTGTGGTGACAGCTTAGAGCCTGGAGCCTGCTTCGGATTCTGTGTCTCCCTCTCTCTGCCCCTCTCCTGCTTGTACTCTGTCTCGAAGATAAAAAATAAATAAATAAATAAATAAATAAATTTTAAATAAATAAAAATAAAAGATTATCTTCTGATTTTCCACCCTTTTTTCCCCTGGAGGTGATAGTAACTATTGCTATGAGGTTTTAGAGTAATGTATGTCAGTACTATAAACCTCTTACCCAGTTACCATCCTAAAGGACATTTCCTGCTTATTCTCTGAACTTCAGGCACTTAGGTGATAAGATCTGCTCTCCCAAAAACGTGTCTTTCCAACCAGCCCAGTGCTTCAAGGCTTCTCACGTGGAATAAACTTCCAATGAAATAATTTGAAGCCAAAACTTTTAACATGACCTGGGGCATCTTCTGATCATCTGTCTGTAAGGGTCCTGCTGGACATTTTGAGTATTTGGTCATATGTGTGTGCTTTAGGCAGAATGATGTGGAGACTACTTATCAGACACCTGGCATAGCAAAGAAGACAAGGGTTTTAGGAAACTGCAGCTTCATCTTTGGAAAGATTCCCTAAGAAGTGTTTTTCTTGATCTGCAGGCACCAAATTTCTAACCTGTTCTTCATATATAAAACCTACTATGGTTCTAAGTGGATGTCATTAAAGTATAGTGAATGGGAGCCTGGTGGACCGCCTCTAGGTTTTTGATGATAAAGAAAAATGGCGGGGTGTCGCAGACTTTCAGTCTGGGGTTGTCTGTTGTCCAGCAAGAGAGCAGACACAGAATTGAATACAAGACAGGCTAATGTCCAGGAGGAGACAAGAGCCCTGAGTAAGGGTCCTTGCTCCGTATTTATTAGATCAGAAGGCTTACAAGCGTAATGGACATGCAGAAAGAGACAATGAAACAGTAAACATTAACTCATGTGTGAGAGAAAGGGGGTTTCAAAGGGATGTGGTCTTAGGGGTTAGGGTCAAGACAAATCAAAGTCCTGGCGCCTAGCAGACAGCCGTTTACTGCAGACACCAGGCACTGTGGCTCTTTATCTTAACTTTTCCAGGGGCTGAGACACATAGAGCATACTAGCTCAGGGTTAACAAGGCACTTTTCTCACTAATTAGGTCTGGGAAATTTTGCCCTATAGTGGCTTTCCGCTCTGTGCTTTGTTTTAATTCATGATAAATCCTGGGCCCTTTCTCCCTGGTGTGGCAGCTTTCTGCCTCTACCTATCCTCGGATGCTTTCATTCTTTGGAAGTGGCTTTCCACTCTATGCTTTGTTCTTCGCTGGGCTTTGTTACCCTGTGGCGGCTTTCCACCTAAGCCTTGTTAACCTATTGGTGCAAGCTCAGAGAATTCTTAAACTTATTCCCCACAGTGGGGCATCTAGGTGGCTCAGTTGGTTAAGTGTCCGACTTCAGCTCAGGTCATGATCTCACGGTTCATGAGTTTGAGCCCCACATCAGGTTCGCTGCTGTGAGCACAGAGACCACTTCGGATCCTCTGTTACCCCCTCCCCCTTCGCTGCCCCTCCCCCCCTCACGCTCTCTCTCAAAAATGGATAAACATTTTTTAAAAAGGGTACCTTCTCCTAAGTTAAACCATAGGGTGTGGGCCTACGTTTACAACCTTGACACCTCTGACCATAACATTTATGTGGCCCATCTCTACATTCTCTTTATCCTTTTAGGAGACAAGAATCTAAATGACACGGAGACTCTTCAGGAAATTGGATTAAAGTACCTGCCACAGGAAGAGCTTTTCTGCTCACAAATCTGGCAACAGGTTACAAAGGAGTTAACCCAGTGCCAAGATGCCATGGTCAGTATTCGAAGAGCTGGCTCTCAGCTGGAAAAACAGGGTGATGCGCTCTATAAAGATGGGGAATTTGGTAGAAGCTTTGATCAGAGTTTGTGTCTTCAGATTCATCACAGAGACCACACGGGAGGAAACCCCTACAAGGGGGAGGAGCGTGAGAAAGGTTGCATTGAGCGCTCTCAGCTTCAGACTCACCAGACGGCCCATGTGGGAGAGAAGCCCTATAAATGTGAGCAATGTGAAAACGCCTTCCGTCGACTTTCAAGCCTTCAAGCCCATCAGAGAGTCCATGGCAGGGAGAAATCGTACAAGTACAATATGTCATGTCAGGGCCTCAGACAGAAGTCACATCTCCGCCCTCCGCAGAGAGTCCCCACTGGCGAGAATCCACACAAATACGAGGAGTGTGGGAGGAGCATCCGGAGAAGCTCACATTGTCAAGCTCCTCTGATAGTCCACACGTTAGAGAAGCCTTATAAATGTGAGGAGTGCGGGCTGAGCTTCAGTCAGGGCTCATATCTTCAAGTCCACCAGAGAGTCCACGTGGGAAAGAAACCCTATAGATGTGAAGAGTGCGGGAAGGGCTTCAGCTGGCGTTCACGACTACAGGCCCACCAGCGAATCCACACAGGAGAGAAACCATACAAATGCGAGGCCTGTGGCAAGGGCTTTAGTTACAGTTCACACCTTAACATCCATTGTCGAATCCACACAGGAGAGAAACCCTATAAGTGTGAAGAGTGCGGGAAAGGCTTCAGTGTAGGCTCACACCTTCAGGCCCATCAGGTAAGCCACACCGGAGAGAAACCTTACAAATGCGACGAGTGTGGGAAGGGCTTCTGTCGGGCCTCAAATCTTCTGGACCATCAGCGAGGCCACACTGGTGAGAAACCGTATCAGTGTGATGCCTGTGGAAAGGGCTTCAGTCGTAGCTCGGATTTTAACATTCACTTTAGGGTCCATACGGGAGAGAAACCCTATAAATGTGAGGAGTGTGGGAAAGGCTTCAGCCAGGCCTCAAATCTTCTGGCCCATCAAAGAGGCCACACTGGAGAAAAGCCATACAAGTGTGGTACCTGCGGGAAGGGCTTCAGCCGGAGCTCAGATCTTAACGTTCACTGTAGAATCCACACCGGAGAGAAACCCTATAAATGTGAGAAGTGTGGTAAGGCCTTCAGTCAGTTCTCCAGTCTTCAAGTGCACCAGAGAGTCCACACCGGAGAGAAACCGTACCAGTGTGCGGAGTGTGGGAAGGGCTTCAGCGTGGGTTCACAGCTCCAGGCCCATCAGAGGTGCCACACTGGGGAGAAACCGTACCAGTGTGAGGAGTGTGGGAAAGGATTCTGCCGGGCCTCAAATTTTCTGGCTCACCGTGGGGTCCACACAGGAGAGAAACCGTACCGGTGTGATGTGTGTGGTAAGCGCTTCAGACAGAGGTCCTATCTTCAGGCCCACCAGAGGGTCCACACTGGAGAGAAACCGTACAAATGTGAGGAGTGTGGGAAGGTCTTCAGCTGGAGCTCATACCTCCAAGCCCACCAGAGGGTCCACACTGGAGAAAAACCGTACAAATGTGAGGAGTGTGGGAAGGGGTTCAGTTGGAGCTCAAGTCTTATAATTCATCAGCGAGTGCATGCGGACGATGAGGGTGATAAAGACTTTCCCGCCTCGGAGAATTCACACAGGAAAGAAACTCCATAAAAGTGATCTGTTTTAATACCTCAAATGGGTGCTGAAATAATCCAGTAATACCTGTTCTAAGAGACAAAACATTTGTTTATAAGAGAGTCAGTATTTCAGCCAGAGCTCGACAGATCCCAATGGTTGGGTAGAGCTTGACCACATAGAGAAGGCTCATGGGAATGGAGACTTAAGGACTTCATTCAGAACGTTGGCTCGTAGCAGATTCAACACGGAAGAGAGGCTTGGGAAGGATGAGTCTGATCGGAAGTTAACTGCGTGCCGAGATAGAAGTGTCAGACCCTCTTCCACCAGAATATAAGCTCCAGGAGTGTAGAGATGTGTCGACTGCCAAATCTATTCAGCCTTTAGGTGCCTCACAGGTTGTAGGTGTTAAATGAGTGAAGGGAGAAGAGTCATCTTTTGAAATATTTTATTCTGTTTGTCTCTAAACATTTCTATGAAATGTTCTTAGAAGAGGAAAGCTGCAAGGCTTGGAGGACATGTAAATTAGACACGTGGGCTCATTTCCCCCGACCAGGCAGGTCCTGTGAACCAATGTTTCTCAACCTACCGGAAAGTCCAAAAATCAACTCAGTGGGTTGTAACCAGCACTTCGGTGTGCGGATACTTTATTGAGGTATAATTTGCATGCAGTAACATGCATAAATCTCAAGTTTACAGCTTCATGAGGTTTTGCAAATGTATAACACTTGTGTAATCCTCACCCAAATCGATGTATGCAGTATTTCTATTAAACCAGACTATTTCCTTGTGTGTATTCTAGTCATTCCCACCTCCGGTGGCAACATGGATGGTTTTTATACCTCATGTTGGTTAAGGCTGTCCTTGGACTTCCTCTGGCTTCAGTATGTACTCTTTTATGTCTGGATTCTTTTGATAACACATATGATCATCTTCATAATTGAGAGAAAGCAGGGTTGACAAAATTCAGTATCCATTCGTAAGAAAAATTCCTCAGGGAGGTAAGAGCCATCTGTGAAAATTTTACAAGTTAGCATTCTTTTTAAAATTAATATTGGGGCGCCTGGGTGGCTCCGTCGGTTAAGCATCTGACTTCGGCCCAGGTCATGATCTCATGGTTTGTGGGTTCGAGCCCTGTGTTGGGCTCTTGCTGACGGCTAGCTCAGAGCCTGGAGTCTGCTTCAGATTCTGTGTCTCCCTCTCTCTCTGACCCTCTCTTGCTCACACTGTCTCACTCTCTCTCAGAAATAAAAAAAAACATTAAAAAATTTTTTTAAATAAGTAAAAATAAAATTATTATTAAGGAGTAATTTATATGCAGTAAAATTGACTCTTTGGTTATCATTCTGTGTTTTAGCCACTACTTACTATTGTCTCACCACCACTTCAATCAAGGCCTCTAACAGTTCTAAGACACCACCTCCACCCCCACCCCTCCCTGAAATTCCTTTGTGCTCTTGTGGTCAACCTGCTCCCGATCACTGCTCCCTACTTTGGCAACCATCCACTTGCTCTCTGTACGCATAGTTTACCTTTACTGGAATGTCCTAAAATGGAATCCTACAGAATGTAGTCCTTGGAGTCTGGCTTCTCTCAATGCTTTGGAGATTCATTGATCTTGGCGTGTGGATTGCTAGCCATGCTGAGTCGTGTTCTGTTATTTGGATGCACCACGTTTGGGTTATCCATTTATCACTTCGAGGATATTTGAGTTTCCAGCTGTTAGCGATGATAAAGAAAACAGTGATTAGTATTTGCATACAGGGCCGTATATCAACACAAGTTTTGTCTCCGTAAATACTTAAGAGTGGGGTCGAATAGGATGTTTACCTGTGTGGAGAGTTAACTCTAAAATGGACGAGCTGTTTTGTATTCCCACCATCAGTGCATATCAGGGTTTTGTTTTTAGCATTTCAGTAGGTTTATAGTGGCATCTCACTTCAGTTTTAATTTACATTTCCCTAATGACTATGTTCCCTAATCTTTTACATCTGAATGTTTGCTGTACGTGTTTCTTTTCTTTGGGGAACGGTTTTCTGTTCTTGAATTTTGAATGTTTATATGTTCTAGATGTTTGTCCTTGTCAGTTACATGTCTTGCAAATATTTTACCTCTGCATATCATTTATGTTTTTATTCCATTATCAGTATTTTTTAAATTAAAACAGCTTTTTTAATGTTTATTTTTGAGAGAGTGCGAGCAGGGGAGGGGCAGAGAGAGAGGGAGACACAGAATCTCAAGCAGGCTCCAGGCTTGGAGCTGTCAGCACAGAGCCCAACGTGAGACTTAAACCCGTGAACAGTGAGATCATGACCTGAGCCGAAGTCAGCCACTTAACCAGCGGAGCCACCCAGGGCCCCCCATTATCAGTATTCTTCTCAGAGCAGTTTTTTTAAATGAAGTCCAGTTTTCTTCCATGAACTCTGCTTTTTGACTCAGATCTAAGAACTTTGCCTAATCCAAGGTCACAAAGATTTTTTTCTCCTTTTTTTTTTAAATTTTGTTTATTTGTTGAGAGAGAGAGAAGGAGAGAGAGAATGGTGGGGAAGGGGCAAAGAGGGGAAGAGAGAATCCCAAGCAGGTTCCACACTGTCAGCATAGAGTCCAACGTGGGGCTTGATCTCATGAACCGTGAGATCCTGACCTGAGCTGAGATGAAGAGTCTGATGCTTAACCACCTGAGCCACCCAGGCGGCCCTCTCCTCTTTTTTATCTAAAAGCTTTATAGTTTTCAGGTTTAACATTTAGGCCTATGATCCGTGTAAGTTAGTCTGTGTAAAGTGTGGGGTCAAGGGCTTTTTTTTTTTTTTTTGGCCTGGAAACATCTAGTTAACTATCCTTTTAACATCAAATTGCTGTTGCACCTTTGTGAAAAATCTGTAAATCATACATGTGTGGGTCTTCTTCTAGCCTCTGTTTGGTTCCATTGACTGTTCTGTAGTTCCTTTCTCCGTCTCTTGCTGTGTATTTACGTGATCTGAGGATTTTTCACAGTGCTATGTTTTAATTCCTTTCTCTTTCTCTCTTGTGTATCTACTACACAAGATTTTGTGGCTACCATAAGGCTTTCATAAAACATAACCATTATAACTTTGATCACATATATAACTTTATCATTTTCTTTCCACTAGATTTTATGTTTTTGATGTCACAGTTTATATATTGTGGATCCATTGATAAATTTTTGTGGTATACACTTTTTTCAAGTTTTTATTTAAATTCCTATTAACGTACAGTGTAATATTAGTTTCAGTTGTAAAATTTAGTGATTCATCACTTACATACAACACCTGGTGCTTGTCACAAGTACCCGCCTTAATCCCCATCACCTATTTAACCCATCCTTCCCTCACCCTCCGCTCTGGTGACCATCAATTTGTTCTCTATGGTTAAGAGTCTATTTTTTGGTTTTCCTCTCCCCTTCCCTCCCCCTCATGTTCATTTTTTTTTTCTTAAAGTCCACATATGAGTGAAATCATACAGTATCTGTCTTTTCTGAGTGATTTATTTCATTTCACCTAATACTCGCCTGCTCTATCCACATCATTGCAAATGACAAGATTTCCTTCTTTTTATGGCTGAGTAGTCGTCCCTTGTGTGTGTGTATATATATATACTACATCCTTATCTGTTCATCAGTCATTGGACACTTGGGCTCTTTCCATATCAGGGTGCATGTATCCCTTCAAATCTGTATTTTTGTATCCTTTGGGTAAATACCTTGTAGTGCAATTGCTGGATCATAGGGTAGTTCTATTTTTGGCTTTCTGAGAAACCTATAGTTATTTTAAATGCTTTTTTTTTTTTAACCTTTTATACTAGAGTTAAGGAATTGATACACAACTAAGAGAATTTGACAGTATACTCCCTTTGCCAGTGAGGTGTTTACTTACATGTTCATTTTACTAATTAGTATCCTTTCATTTCAGATTGAAGAACTCCTGTAGCAGTTTTTATAAGGCAGGTCTAGGGATGATCAGCTCTGTTGGCTTTTGCTTGCCTGGGAAAATCTTTATTTCTGCAGGACGGCTTTGCTGAGTTGTATTGGTTGCCAGTTGTTGTTTCCTTTCAGTACTTTGAATATATCATCTCTCTGTTAGTCTAGGAGGTCTTTGATGACCTCTCCTATGGTGGTGAGTTTCTTTTCCTGTGCTGCTTTCAAAATTCTCTCTCTTTAATTTCTTAACAGGTGTATTATCATGTGTCTCCGTGAAGTCCTCTTTCATTGGAAAATGTTTCAGGATCTCTGAGGTTCGTGTACCTGGCTGTGCATATCTCTCCCCAGATTTGGGGATTTTTTTTTTTTTTTAGGCATTATATAATTTTATTTTAAACATTTTTATTTATTTTTGAGAGACAGAGTGCAAGTGGGGAAGGAACAGAGAGATGGAGATACAGAATCGAAGCAGGCTCCAAGCTCTGAGCTGTCAGCACAGAGCCCGACCCAGGGTTTAACCTCACAAACTGTGAGATCATGACCTGAGCTGAAGTTGGACGTGTAACCGACTGAGCCACCCAGGTGCCCCATCAGCCATTATATAATTTTTTAAAATAAGCTTTCTTCCCCTTTCTTCTCCTTGGACTCCCATAATATGTATATTGTTTTCCTATATTCTGTCCCATAACTCACATAGGCTTTCTTCATTCTTTTTCATTTTCATTTTTTTTTTTTTTATTTTTACTTATTTTTGAGAGAGAGACAGAATCCCAAGCAGGTTCCAGGCTCTGAGCCCAACACGGGGCTTGAACCCACAAACTGTGAGATCATGACCTGATACTTAAACCAGCTGAGCCAACCAGCCGCCCCTCACTCTTCTTCATTTTCTTCTCCCCTTATTGAAAATTTCTGATGACCTATCTTTCAATTAACAGATTTTTTTTTATCCTGCTTGATCCACTCTGTGCTCATGCTCTCTGTTACACTTTTCATTTCATTCATTGTATTTTGGGGCCCCAGAATTTCACTTTGGCTCTTTTTTTCTAATTTGTATCTCTCCCTTGAACTTCCTGTTTTGTTCATGTATTCTCTTCCTAATTTTGTTGGGTTGTCTCTCAGTGGTCTCCTGTAGCTCACTGAGTTCCTTAAAAGCTATGTTGAATTCTTTGTCAGGCAATTCTTCACTCTCCATTTCTTTGAGGTTACTTACTGGAAAATGTGTGCCTTTGGTAGTGTCATGTTTCCTTGATTTTTCATATCCCTTGAAGTCTTGTGTTGCTGTCTTCTCCTTTATTGTTTTTGTTTTGTTTTGTTGTTTATCACCAAGAGACAGAGAGAGACAGAGCATGATCATGGGAGGGACAGAGAGAGGGGGAGACACAGAATCCCAAGCAGGCTCCAGGCTCTGAGCTGTCAGCACAGAGCCCAATGTAGGGCTTGAACTCACAAACCGTGAGATCACGACCTGAGCCAAAGTCAGATGCTCAACTGGCTGAGCCACTCAGACGCCCCTGCTGTCTTCTCCTTTGAAGAAGCAGTCACCTCCTCTCTTCTCTACTGACTGACTTCAGGAGAGAAATGCTATCACTAGTCAGCTGGCTGGGGATTCTGAGGCTTTCTCAGAACTTTTCAATTGATGTGTCCACTCCACACTCGTGCTCCCTCTTGGTGAGGGAATTTATAAGATTGTATGCTTGTTCCCAACCCCACAAAGCCAGGCTTGGTGTTGAGAGCCTGCCTTCCCCCCACCCCCCAATTCTAGTGTTGTCCTTAAGTGCTTTTGTTTGTGTTCCTTTTCCCAATCCTCCGGAATTAGGATGACTGTCTATGTGTGTTTGCTAGAGGTGTGCAAA